TGGCAATAATAAGGGTTGTCATTACCACTGGGAAATTGCTATTTTGGCTTTGTGTGTCAGTTCGTGGAGACAAGATTTCCTTAGAGATGGCTGCCTCCTGATTTTGAGAATAACAACTCAAGTAAAATGTTATTTTGAAAATAAATGTTTTCTGAGGTTTTCCTGAACCAGTTCGAAAATCCAGTCCTATCCTATTCCTTCTATATCGAGAATAGAGTTAATAGTGGTTATTTATCTGTAATGTTAGATATTTCTCCTGCTTATTGTTGCCATATTGTGATTTAGAAATTGCTGACAATAATTGTTTTCCTATTTACATAAGCCATAATTTGTTTATACAGTGGTGTATTGAATAAGCCATAGTGTCCTGGTTCATACATACTATTATGCTATAAATAACCATTTAAAATAATTTAGTACCTAAATTTTCACCTCATGTTAAGGCAAAATGAAATAAATCACATCAATGGGAGAATCCTCCCAGAACTTGGGGCTACCCTTAATGATCATTCAGAAGCTACAACTGGTATAGAATGCAGTGGGCTAGGCAGTGATGGATGTATTCCAATACGATCAGGTGAATCCACTGCTTTGGTAGCTACATTGGTTGCTAGTCAGCTTCCAGGTACAATTCATGCTGCTGATTGTCACCACTAAGGCCCAATATAACTCAAGACCTGGTTATCTGACTCAAGACCTGGTACCCATGCAACTAGATCAAATAAGGTCAGTTCCTTCCAGGTTCTCTCTCTGGAAATTGTCATCTGATGGGACCTCAGAAGAGGGCATTTTTGGTAGTTACTCCTATTCTGTGGAACTCCCTTCTTGCAGAGATTGGGTCAGCATTGTTCTTCCTTGGTTTTAGGAAAGCTGTGAAGACTTACCTGTTCCTCCTTGCACATAGACGGGTGTGCTTATGACTGAAGGTGGATTTACAGGCACATGACTTTTTGTATCCTAATTTTTTTTTTACTTGGTTATTTTTTCTGTGTCTGTCTGTCTGTCTGTCTGACTTTGGGGTCCTTGGAGAGATATTATTTTATGTTGAGATTGTTAGCCTCCTAAACCGTTTGGGAATGAGTGGCATACAAATAAATAACCTTGAAAGTGGCAAGTACTTGGTAGTTTTCATATACTTTTGAAATTAAATTGGGCAAATATTAGGATTGCCAATTTCCTTGGCAACAATATGGAAATGGCCTGTCATTGTCTTATTTCAGGATGTTTCCTCAACCTAGTCTAACTAATAGCCCTGGATTTCTCAGATGGTTCCCAATCCAAATATCAACAAGGTTTGGACCTACTTAGATTTTTAGATCAGCCAAGATTGCCTAGGTACTGCAGTCTTATTGCTCAGCGGAGGGTCAGCATAGTAACTGGTATTGAGTTGTGTGGTAAGAAGGCCAAAGTTAGATTCATTCTTAGACAATAAACTGTATGTGGGACCTTGGACAAATGTTCATGTTTCAGCATAGCTTGTGTCACAGGATTGTGAAACGAGAATTAATGGTTGCATCATTTGATATTAAAGGAGATTTCCTGATTAGAAGACGACTCGGGAGCTATTTTCAGAGTAACTATTGTCCTTTCTCTGTCCTTGATGTACCTGTGTTAGTAGACCTTTGTATAACCATTAGAAAACAAAACTTAAGGATTCTGGGACCTACCAATATCTTGACAGTGTCATTTAGCATTGGTCACATTGACTAGTCTTATGAGAACTTCAACAACATCTAGAGGGTCATAGGTTCCTCATCCTATATTAGAATGTCTCCTATAAGAAACACCCTGGCTTGCAAGTGTTCCAGGCCAGTGATTGATTGTTGTATGCGTTAACTTTCATCTATAAGAGGAAAGGGAATAAACTAGGCCTAGAATTAATTGTCTTGGTTTATTGATTGATGCTCTTCATTTGTGCTGGCAACAGGATATCAACTTTTCTGAATTGGTTTTCTTTAGGAAATTAACAATAATGGTGCCAAACAAATGTCATATAATGAATTTGCTATATGAATTTGTACTATTACCTGCTCTGTGTGTGATGGTGCTCATTTCTTTTTTTCCTGTTTTTTCTGTTTTTTATTGCTCTTTCCATGTTAAATTGGTGGTGGTGATATACGTCTGCAGGGAGGGTACTCTGTTTTCTTAAGAACTGTTTTCTGTTTCTCTGCAAGCGGTACTTCTTTTGCTCTTACATTGCTGGGTGTCTTCTTTCTCTTAATTTGTCTGACAGAATACTTGTACTTTCTTGTCAGAGAATTAGATTGTATGGTGATATGCCAATGCAAGCTTGCCAGCTGTGTTAAAAATATTTGAACTGGGTCCTTAACTTAATGCAACACCTTAAAGT